CCATCTGGGAAACCTCCTAGCTCTAAATGGCTCATTTAAGACCACCCAACCTTCAAAAGTGGAGCTGAGGGACTCTTTTCCTTTGAATAACTGTTCTGCAATAAAAAGAAGCTTCAGAAAATATTTGCACGGGCTGTCAAAGAACGCTTTACCCGGACATTATTCTCTCAGTAGCTGTTAGGGTGAAAAGCAAGTTTCAGTCTGAGTGGTTATATATAGGAGATTTATGAAATTTATGTCATTAACATTTTCACTGTAAGCATACTGATAAATAAATTTTTAGTAACTTTTTTGCACTTAAATTGTACATTGATCTATCCACATATACTATGTTTAAAATCACTCTCTACATACAGTTTAGTTCTTCGTCTCTTGTAGTTGATATTGTTCAAAATCCAAATGCCTCTAATGCTTTTACATTTAATACTGCCTATGTTGAAAAGCAGGAGAATGAGTAGTCCCTGGGGAGCTGGATTGTTCCTAACCGGCAGTCCTGTGCAGAGGCCGGGTTGTGTCAAAGGGCCTCAAATTCCTGCAGTGCTCAGGGAGGTCACGCTGCAGTCACAGCTCTGTTACGCTTTCGATAGGTGTGCAGGAGCTCTCCTTGCTGCATGACCAGCTGCTGCTTACTGATGCAAAAAAAAAAAAAAAAAAACACCCTTACTCGTTGTGTCTGCAGTCTTGTTATACTGCTTATGCCAGTTCCCGAAAGAATACATTCCCTGGCTTTTCCCTTTGCCTGGTATCCCTTGGATAACCCTTGGCCATATTCTCAATGCATTGAGGAATGCCTGACCCAAGCTGTGGCTGATTATGGTGATGTGACACCTCGGTTATCCTATCCTTCTGGCATTGTATGGTGCTTCTGCCAATGCTTAGAGCTATTTGAAGCACCCAGCACTCCTTTCTCCCTTTTCTCAGTTTCATGGGTACGTCACGTGGTGACTGCTGGGATCAATGTGAATACTGAGAGACTGCAGCAAGAGCAGCTCCTTAGAGCTGCGTGCAGGTACTGCAGGGTGCAATGGGGAGTGTGAGTTAGAGCTGATGTCAGATGGGACATGTCATGGATGCCACAAACCCTGGTGGTGCACTTTTGGTGCCCGAGGGCCTCTCATGCGATATATGGTAAGTTTGTTCAGGATAGTCTACATGGAGATGCCTGAGGCACCCCTACAGGTGTAGTCTCTGGGTGAGAGTATGACATGTACTAAGTTGAAATAAAATACTGGGACTGCTGTTATTTTTAATAGTGCTGTCATGAAGCATAAAGTTTACTAAAAGTGAACTCCCTTCTGGAGACACCTTTTACCTCACAGTGAAAGTCTCCCATATGCTAGGGGTGTGATTAAGGAGCTATTGTAGCAAAGCCGGCAGAGCTGCCATAAATATCTTGTTAATTTATCTGGCTGTACTGTTTGGTGAACCTTTACAAACAGGATTATTCACTCACTGATTCCCCCATTGTGATTCTGTTGCCCCTTTCTTTGCATGGTAGCAAAAGTAAAGCAAAAGTACCTAAGATGTCAGCTTCTGAAGAGCAGTATGTCATTCAGTTACATGATGTTATTATCAGTGCACACAAAAAAGAGAGCTGCAAAATAACATAGGAATAAAATGCATATAGAGAAAAGACAGTAAAGAGCAGGGAGCATTAAAAAAAAAAAAGTGAACAAGCCTCAAAAGAGTAGAGCTTCTCACCTCTTTGCAGTAAGCTTTAACTTTAGTTCTCTGTCTAGTCCTGATGTGATGAAACAGATGATAGTGTCATAACAAGCTTCAATCACACCATGCTTCAGGATGTGCTGCACTGGTTACAGTCCCTAAAACTCTGTGTTTAGGTGGGGGTAAAATTCCCAAAATATTTTTGGGCTTTACTGTTCTTTTCAAGGAAGGAGGAACGTTATGTAGGAGATACTTTTACTATTTACACCTTGTTTTTATTAGTGAATACTGAATCACAAACAGATACATTAATTTAAAAAGTATTTGTCAACTGATGTGCATAATTACCACGCTAACATTTTACCATATATGCAGTGGCTATTTCAGTGCTTTGTTTTTCTTACGTTTTTAGGCTGCAAAACAGATAATGTTGAAATATTACTTAAACCACTGAACTCATTTTGTTTGACCTTTCAGAAACTGTTGATATTATTGATTTCTAAAGAGTAGAATCATAGGAAAAAGCAGCTTAAGTCATGAAAATGTTTTTGGTGCAACACTTTTTTAGAAATAAGAGATTCTCTTTTGAGATATAATTTTCTTAAGGCATCTGTGTATTTGAATGCAGAGACATGGTTCAGCATTCAGTCCACCACCACCATCATCTATCATACTGAAGTACATTTTGTAGATTTATGCAGACGGGAAGGTGACTGACTTTACTTTCTGTTCCATTATTCACATGTTGTCCTGAGGGTTCCTTTGTTTATATTACAGTATGCCTCATGAACAATCTTTGTTCAGAGTAGGAAAACGGAATGTTTTTATCCTGGACAAACAATGAATAATGCACAGTCTATTAGAACTATCCTAAGGGCACATACTTACTGTAAAACACTAAACTTTGAAAATAGTGAATAAGAGCATTTCGTTTTTGAAATGCATCATCCTCTGGACACAGTTTTCTATCATGGAGACAATCTAGTCTGATCCATTTTATCTTTTCTTTCAAGTAGGGAGATAATATAAATGATTACAGTTTAAAAGATCTGACTCTTCATTTGAGTATCAATTTGAGTTTCAGCTGTTAGGCTTTCCAAGGCCTGAAAAGTTACGTGGGTCAGCCATTCACTGGTAAAAGTACAAGGGATTGTTCTTTGCTTCCACCAGGCTTGTAATAGAGAACCTTAAAAAACTTCCCTGTGTTGCAATCAATTGAACTGCACTTAGCGTTTTCACCATTTGTCTTCAGCTCCTGCTCCTGTGTTTCATTGTCTTTGATCACTTATAGATTGTGAAGGACAAGAAATGTTTTTATTCACTGTAATTTGTCAAAAACATTTTCTCCTGAAGCCAGCCATTAGGTTTTTTTCTATTTGCTTGTTAACACATGCCAGTGATGAAAGAGTAGAAATATTTAACACAGTACAAAGGCAGCTCTCCTTTCAGATCTTCATGGTGGGCAATTATATGAACAATCCTTGTTCAGGCACAACTGTTAGTTCTACTCTTTTTTTCTCTTTCTTTCTTTTTATTTAAAAAGTAGACAAAAAGCTGCGGAAAATTTTATGAAGAGTTATAGTAAGAAAGGAAAAAATCTCACAAATCTTTTTAGCACACTATTTTATATGCTAATAAGCTGTCTGAGCTCATATGAGGGGCAGTTTCTGAGGCCTAGAAGAAAGCAAACGTCACCCCTATCTTCAAGAAGGTGGATCCAGGGAACTACAGGTCAGCCAGCCTCACCTCCGTCCCTGGGCAGGTGATGAAGCAACTAAAATTGCTGGAAACCATTTCCAAACATATGTAGGACAAGAAAGTGATTGAGGTAGTTAGTATGGATTTATGAAGGGCTTGATCAACCCCAGTAGCCTTCCACAATGAGAAGACTGTCTTGGTGGATGATGGAAGAGCAGCAGATGTTTTTTATCTCATCTTTAGTAAGGCTTTCAGAAATGTCTCCCGTAACATTTCATACACAAACTAGTGGAATATGGACTAGATAAGTGGTCAGTGAGGTGGACTGAAAACGGGCTGCACTGCCAAGGTCAGAGGGTTGTGATCAGCGGCACAAAGTCCAGCTGGAGGCCCATCACTGGTGTTGCACCCCAGAGATCAATACTGTTTAACATCTTCATTAATGACGTGGACAATGGGACAGCATGCACCCTCAGCAAATTTACAGAGGATACAAACCGAGGAGTCGTCGTCGATGCACCAGATGGTTGTGCTGCTACTCAAGGGGACCTCGACAGTCTGGCAAATGGGCAAACAGGAACCTCAGGAAGTTCAGCCAAGGGAAATGCCAAGTCCTGCACCCAGGGAAGAATAATCCCATGCACCACTACAGGCTGATGGGAGGGTGTGAAGAGGTTGTGATTCTGTGTGTAACTTTTCCTTTTTTTCCTTTTAACAGTTTATCTTTCATTTTTCACATTTTATCAGAGGAGGACATGGCCATCAAGATTCACAGCCTATAAAAAAGAGTATTATTGTTGCAAAAAGCAAATAGTCTTTAAGCACCGTTAGCATTTAATGTACTAAATAAAATAAAGTTTCAACAAGGAGAATTAGGCTTTTGAGACATTTTTAGTCTTTCACGTTCATAGGAAATTCAATTACTGCAAGTGGAAATGCAGCAAACACAAACTTGAATTAATTTACTTCTTTTTAATAGATGGTATACTTTAAAAATTTATTAGAATAGATTACCAATGGGTGTGGAAAAATATCCTTCTGTTTCTTCAGATCAAGTTTGGTTGGAGATTCATGGCTACATAAAGGTCAAGTTCTACTGTAACCCAAAGTTCAAGAGAAAGAACTAGCTGTGTTTAAGTGAAGATTTTGTCGAGGTGGGGAAAACATCGTAATTATATCTACATTATTCTATGCCTCCCTGAGAGGCATATTCAAGACTAATTTCCCTTTTCTTTCACACTATTTATCTAGTGAAATGCCCATGGCTTGCTTCAGAAGGGCAAGAGTTGTGATGCCAGGAGTATGTAGGTAGGGGCAGGACCTGAGTGCTCTTCAGGGGGTGCTCTCTTGCTTGGAACTCTACGGTCCTCTCCAGGGCAACCACAAGAAATCTGGCTGATCCATAGCTGGCACCACCTCTGCAGAGGCATCGCAGGCAGCACAGCAGCTAGCTGGGGTGCTCCGCTCTGATTTCAGCATGCGACCACCCTTTCTGTGGCACCAGCAGTGGTACTTCTTTGCTCCTTTCCTGGGATATCCACCCACTGTAATAGCACAGGCATATTCAAAGAGCTGCTGCCTCTATTGAGGACTCTTCGTACAGCACTTACAGGAGCCAGAACTTCACCTGCACAACTTTAGCCAAAAACCACCATTACGAACCTGCAAGCTGCTGTACCTGCTTGAAGTCCTACTCTGCCATTACCAGGTAAATGCCGAACCCAGGAGGCTCCGGGCAACGTTGAGGCCAAGTGGGATGGCGTCTAGTGAATTAGGGAGCCAAATGGTTTAGACAATACTTGAAAGTAGGTGACCTCTATCACTGTCTGGGATCTTCAGATGCCTAAAGGCCAATTTGTATTTCATTAGGCATAATCCCGTGCTGAAATGTGTGCTGTGTGAATACTTGGGTGGAAAGCTCAAAGGTGGGCTCATTGCCACAGTACAGTCACCTTATTATTGGACTTGACCTCCTGCCTTCAGACATATCCATTTTGTTTCACAGTCTGGGTGGTCCTGAAGTACATATTCAGTTTTTTTATCTTGGCTGAGAAATGTTAGCTCTTCTAGCTCTTCATTATTTTCAGTGATATACCCATACACTTTGGGGTTTTTCTCTCTCTCTTGATCTGAACTCCTTTTGTCCGATATCACTTCAGAATGATTTATGAACTGGAGCTTCTAAAACTTTTACTGAAGCTTACTTTAGCAAATACTTTTTTTAAAAAGTTAAAAGTTTGCAGAAAGTTTTGCTTTGCTCTTTTTCTAAAATCTTAAATCTTTTCTTTGCTGCAGCTTGGCAGCTCATATGTTTTAAGCTAAAATATAGCTGAGACGCTTATGAGAACGTAACTAATAAAGGTGAATTGTTCTTCCTTAAAAGTGCTTGAGTCCCCTAAACGATCCCTTAAACATGTGTTTACCCATGCCGCCAGCATTCCTGTGCTTGGTAAAAACTGATGCAATGCAAAATAAATTGACTGCTTTCAAGGATCATTCTGAGGGTTTCATTATTTAATTTTTATTTCAGTCTGGGTTCTGTTACTTGCACAGGAAGTTTCACTTGACTTTTAGCACCTTAAAAAAATTGTAAAAACACTACTAGGGTCTTGCAGTTCTGAGTAGTGACTTTTTGCGCACAAAGAGACATTCACCTCTCTGCAGAGCCCACATATTAAATCCTATAAGATTAATATAGATTTTTATGCTGCATAGAATGTTCTGGCCTTCTCCCACAGGAACTTTCAACCTTGGGAGAAATACTTCTCCCCAAGGATATATCCTGAAATTGGTAGTATAGAATCTCAGTACAGTCCTAACGAGACAAATGTTCTTGAAATGTCATTGCCTTAACCTAATATATGTTCGGAAGACTGTATTTTGGCAAGTACAGGTACACTGACTATCTGGGGAAGCTGGATGAATGTACAAAAGTATCATTGTCTTCAGCCCCAGTGCACACTATGGCTATGTTTCAAACTGTAACGCAAATCTCAGATGATAAATGCAACAATTGTCATTTTATTTTCCAGGAAGATGAATACAGAGATGATAATGGCCAAAAAGACACTATGTATAAATCTCAAAGAGATTAATACAGCTATAATGCAATTAGGTCCAGTTTCTATGATCTTGCTGAGGAGCAACCACTCATAGATTAATAAGAGTTAGTAGCATCCTCAGGACTTTTTTTTTTTAATACAACCTTAACTGAAGAGCTGTGGGTGAGGGAATTGTCTGTCCACATGGGCAAAGTGGCCAAGGATTTTTTTGTCATTTTTGAAAACTACTTTCCTTCAATGTCTGTCCAGCGACTGCTTTAACTTCTCCTTAAAGAAAGTAGTTCTGAGAGTGCAGAGAATGGGGTTCAAGGCACTGTTTATTGGCAGAACAAATATCACTATCCAGGAAGTGATAGTGTTTAGGAAAAAATGGAAGATATTTAGTATGTTCTTTTATAGGAATGCTAAAGAAACGAACATATAAAGCCTTTGTTTTCTGTCATTTTTGCAGAACTCTACCATAATATCATTTTTACAAGAAAGGGGTTTGAATTCAAAGTTACTCATTGTGTTTCTCATTAAGCTCACGACGAGTTTTCATGAGAAGGGAAAAAAGGGAACTTTGACCAGAGTATGTCTTTTTTTCTGTCTACTGGAATTTAATAAAAGCACTAAACATGAGCTAAAGTCCATCCCTCTTTCTGATCGTGTTTAATATAAATTCAAATTCCGTACTTCAATAAAACCTGGTCATAAAACCAGCTGCAGTAATACCTATTTTTTACATGGCCATTTTAGTCAGTAGGTTTCAAAATGCCTTACAAAGAGCTGCCATTATTCATATTTCAAAAAGGGGAAACTGGAGCGCAGAGAGGTGAAGTGACTGGCTCAGAAGGCCATAAACTGAGCTGTATATAGAGCCTAGGCATCTTGAATCCCACTCTGGCCATAGTGGTACATCTTCTGAACGCTCTTATTTCAGCCATGTTTTATTTTTAACTATCTGCGTGTTACCTCTTCACCTGGCTGCACAAGTAGAATTTAGTGCCACCAATGAGGCTAGATAGGTTTTATGTTAAAACAATTGATAATGTACTACATTTCTTTAATGCCTTTCATATTATGGGAATTATTTGCTTAATTTTCTACAAACATGAGATATCCATTTTCTAGAATTATAACGGAAAAGCAGGATGCCTTTATCACAGCGCTATCACTAAGCAGCTGTAGGGTTAGCAGGGCTGCACATAGGCAGAGTAGTGATGGAGAGCTGCGAAACTGCATGACTCTTCCAGTGTTGGGTAGCTGAGAACATGCCCTGCATGTGGGAGTAGGGAGGGCCTGTGGCCTCCTCAGGACCCCCTGGAAATCGCTGCCAGTGCTTATGCACATGGAATCTGGGTTGCTTAAAAAGCCTCTTGCTATAGTTTTGTTTTCCAAATGGTCAAACTAATTAACTTATTTGTATATAATACAAGGAGATTTTGCAGCTGTAGCAGGGGACAACCTCTTCACTTGATAACTTGGGCTGGTTGTCAGATACACACACACAGATTTGAGGTGATATGCATATACTTTAAAGCTCAATTTCTGAATGGAGAAAAAGTTAAATATTTTTGGCAATACTTCCTCTCCCCCCCATACCCATGGTTAGCTAGAATTCTGCCAGCAGAGTCAGTTTGGTTTAAATGGAACCTTTAACAAAAAAAATCACTCTTTCTTAGACAGCATTATCTAGAATTTCCACCTGCAATAAGGAGAGGATTTTAATGACAAAGACAGGAATCCAGCAGATGGCATCAGTGAATACTATTCAAAAAAAAACATTGGCAACAGCAGCATCCCTGCAGATATGAATCCTTACTTCCGATGTCTGAAGGGCAGTTTTTTGAATGGAACAAAACATGCTGACATATGAAAACACTATTATGATGAAGGCTAGCAGGTTCACACCTGTGGGGAAACAAGATTCAAAGCAAAAGGCATTAAAATGATATTTCTTCTTTCCCCTTTCTCCCACCACTTTTCTATTTCATTCTCTTCTGTAATTTTATTGTAATTTTTACCAATAAACATTAATAGATACCAATTTTATGTTAGAAATGGATCCTAAATATTGTCAAGAGTCACATAGCTTGCTCACATGCCATGTGTTCCCATCTGTTACACAGTGAGATGTGAATAAGTTGAAGAAGTTACTATAGAAACAGTTAATGCACAGTATGGGTGGGCTCATGGTTCCACAGAGAGCTGGTCTGCTGACTCGCAACGCTGCAATAAATCTGAAGCAAAAAGTTCCTGTAGGACTCTATCACAATAATGAAACAATGACACATTCCCTATCAAAGTGACAAACCTGTCTGAAGCATATGTTGATATCAGATTGGCTTCTTCATTTTTGTAAAAATATCCATCCCAAATTACTGGTGGAAGAATATATGCAAAGTGAGCTGTGCGGCCGGGGTTTTAAGAGTCACCCTAGACTGGGCAGAGGAGGGCTTTTCAGAGCAGGGCTTTCAGCCCTCCATCAAATGGCAGCTTCTATTTGTCAAATATAAAATGGTCCCCAATAAATAGCTGGAAGCCATTGGAGGAGGCATTTATGTCAACATCCTAACACCCGAAAACAGGCCATTACTGAGAAGTACGGATGAAAATAAACAAAACAAATTGAAAACTACAACATAATTTTTCCTAATGGATGGGAAATTGCTACTGAAATCTCAATTGACATATGTGTTGCCTTTTTTACTTTCTATTCAGTATAATTCTAAACAAAAAACAGTTCTATCTTTTGGTATGTTTTGCCTTTTTGATATCAAGAGACAAACCTAGCAATAACGGTTAAATGTGTATGTATTGGCTACATAACCCACGTCTCAGCAAGCATGGGTCAGAGAGAAGATCATTTTGCAGCAGTTTGAATAATTTTCAATCTTTGCTGTGAGTAAGTGCTCTGAACATAACTAGTTCATACATATTTCAAACTGGGGTTTCTGCTTTTTATTGTATTTATTTCCAGTTTATTTTGTATATTTGATCAGTCATTATTCTATGCCACTATAATGCACATGAAACTTTATTTTTATAATTTCATCTCATATTATTTGTATTATCTCAGTTTGCTGCAACACAATAAAGATGATACTGAGTGGTAGTTGAAGGCTGCTGATTTCACTAATTTTTTAAAATGAAAAATTTTCAAACTATTGCACTGTGCACACAGTGCAGCTAAGTAATCGCATAACCTCACTGTTGTTATCCAAATTCTCTTCAATGTCTTCTCTTCTTCTGTGTTACACTCACTTGTGTTTTGTTAAAATTAGATGCTAAATGCTTAATGTGACAGACCCTTGTAAGCATCTGTGCAGGCAGCACCCAGCAGGTGAGGCATGGTCCTATTGTGTGCCTTTGGAAAGTATTACAATATGAACAGTAATAGTGTAATGAGTAATTATAACATGATAAAAACTAAACTTACTAAGAAAAATACCAACAGAATACCCAGAATTCAATGGGTAACAAACGCTGTTTTTTCCATAATACTTTCCAAAAAAGTTCTCATCCCAAAATGGGATTATTGCTATGAAAAATCCAGCAATCCATATAGATATAAGAATCACTGTTATCTGCGGCTTTCCAGGACGGATATTACTGAAGGCAAAGGCAATCACTAAATTCTTTTTCAAGGACATATATGTCAACAATGGGACAGAAACCTCTGTAGATAGCATGGAGATGAACTCCATGATATGACACGGTAAACTTTCCATCCACAGCACAGCATATTTTTTATACTGTTCATGGTATTTAATATAAAAAACTCCACCGAATAACAAATACACCACCATTAGACAGCACCTATTTAAGAAACGGATTTCACGGTTTGCTGAAAATAGCAATGAAATGCTTCAGGTATAGCATAATTCTTTGCTTAGCCAAACTCCAGCTGGTATACGAAAACAAATAAACTCTGTGTTTGTGGCATCAGAAGTCATGTGCTATGGGACTACACGTCCCCTGGTCATGGATAGGAGAGAGGAAGCTGGTGTGAGGATGCAGGGAAAGGAAGTGACCCCCATGAACGTACGATGCTTTGGGGCAAAACTCCCTGGCTGTAGCCAGCTCTGCAGCTTTTGTAGACAGTGGAGTGCTGAACCCCTTCACCGGCTGTATTTGGCACACAAGCATGCCTGGAGCACTCCTGCGGCACAGTGCGCGCAGCACTCGTGACTCAGACACTGCAGTGGCAGAGTGTAAGGCAGGAGCAAACTGGAGGAGTCTCAGGCAGAGTGCAGGAGACGTGGTAGGTCTATGCCACTAGAATAAGTACATGGATTTCAGACACCTTGCCACGGATTCATCTCTTCTAACTTCACATGTTCACAATATGTATCTACCAGCAAGGTGAATTCATTTTACCTGACTTCTGCCATTTACAAAACTGGTGATCTGAGTCAGTCATGCCTTGGCTGTCCTCACAGTTAGTGAAGTCAATAGATACTTCTGGGACATGATTCATCTGGCCTGTTTTAGATATCTTTTTTAGAATTAGATAAATTGCATCTTCCACTGACTATAAAGAGAACTCAAGGCAACTAGTTCATATATACACATCTGCATTGTAAGCATCTTAAGTCAGGCAAGATAAAACCTTTCCTGCATAAAGTTAATATATAGTCAGAAAGTAGAGCTTATAAGCTTGGCCTAGTTGAATTAAGAGAGGGATATTAACCTGGAAGTAATAACAGGTCTCATATCTTTTTAAAGGGCTTTTCACTAGAGAACAGTATCACGCTAACACATCATGAACTTACAAGGAGGTAGGACTCGGTCACAGCAAGTCTGAATTTGGTCCACATTATTATTGGTTCCAGGGCTCGTAATCCGAAAATGACTGCTGGACAAAATATTGTGCAACCATTTGGAAGTAATCTCATTTTCTGGATAATTATGAAATACTCAATTCAAAAATCACAGAAGGATTTATTACTTCCTATGTCAAAACAATATGATGATTTGACACACCACACAATAAATACAAACTGCAAGTAGTCTAATGCTAGCTAGCTTGGGCATAATCTTTAATACAAAATGAACAGTAATAATTAATAAAGTAAAATGTTCAAGCTTCGTAGGTTCTTTGTATACATCTTAACTATCTGAAGTCAAGGAACTGAAAGACCTTAGTTCTTTTGTTTCTTATATTCATTTAGAATATAGGAAAATGGTGCAAAATAGATAATAATGCATAACTTCTTAGTAAAATTTTCATACCAGTATGTTCACTAACTTTTGTATCTGTAATGCAAATTGAAGATACTGGAATATACATAATTTTATATTATATATTATACTATACATATATAATATATAGTATTGAAGCATATATAATGTTATGTAGCTCATCGGTTTACTATAAATGTCTTTAGTATATACTTACAACATACAATTTTTATAGACAAGGTGTGCGTCTTGTTTTCTGCTTTGATAAATGATCTCATTACAATAATAAAAAGATTTCCAAACACGAAACACAATCTATGACCCACACAAATCAGAACTCTCAGAACATTGTTAGCTAAGAGGTCCTCAAATGATGAAATCCCGTCCATTAATGGTGTGCATATTTGCACATGGAGAGCATAGGAGTGCTTCCGAAACCTTTTGAAGTAGCTGAAAATAAAGAAATGAACGTGTAATACTGCTGGTCAAAGCCAATGTCACAGTTATATATCAGTTATGTAATTAGGTGCAAGGAATTAGAAGAGAAGAAAATTTACCAAAACCATTCCTAATGCCTCATATAACAGGTATGATGTATCAGGCATTTAATCAAGGGAGGATTTGTTAAGGAGGAGCTTAGGAGGTTTATAGCAGCTCATATCCTTTTGGACCCCAGTAACAAGGCTCAGCTATAATGGTTGTGGTTGCAACTGCCTCTGACTTCCTTTAGGTCAGTGTAATATGTAAATAAGGTGTTGCTATTGGTTGATACCTGACATGAGAGGAATAGCCAGGTTTTGTTTTTGGTAGCCTTTGAAGGACTTTGCTAGTCTTAATTTGTTGTCAGTGTATTCAGGCTGTTATGCTTCATGCTAAGGTGCTTAACAAGCAGATCATTTACGACCCCTTGGCAGAAGGATTTTGCCTACATTAACAGATTGTGGAATGTCTGTGGAATGACTTGAAGTTGGTAATGAACATTTAAGGACCTCAGCGTATCAGTTCTTAAGTGTCCTAATTCTCTGACCTTTATTTGAGTATAGTCTTGTATTTCAGTGGAAGTGCATTCATAAAGAAGGCTTGAGGGACAGGCTCTAATACTGTAAAGCCTGCAAGAGCATGGTTCTTTTAAAATATATTCTTACATCCTATTGATTTCTGCAAAGGGTAAACATATGGTTTAGTGTTGTCTGAGTACTTGGATTTAAGCATGTCTAACATTAAGTCTGTCTATAAACGGTGCTTTTTTATACTGGGAAACTGCTGCATAGTGACTCAGTGTTAAAGACAAAAAAGAATCAAAAATCAAATAGTTAATCCCATCCTTGTATTTATCTACAGTTCAAAACTTCTCATTTTATTTGTGAAATGCTACTGATGAATAAAAAAAAGAATATCAAAAAATAAAAGCATGAAGGGTAGATCTGCAAGTAAAATTCAAATGTGATATAATTATAACTGAAATATGTGAGCAATTATATATCAAATTTTGCATATTAGTGTGGTCCTATTGATTGCATCCACCCTCTACTGGTAGGTAGGGGGACAGGAGCTAATTTATATTTTATTTTTCAAGAAGTAGTAAAGAATGGAAGACAGTATAGAATGAGCTCTTTAGAAATAAAGTCAGAAATCTGAGCACTGCACAGTTGATCCAGATGTTTATTCATGGTGTAGGAGAAAGAAATATTTATATCTGGGAGTGATTGTAAACTGAAGACCAAAATCAAAGAAAAAAAAAAGGAAAAAAGAAAAAACAAGCTTTAAGATTTATCATCAAGAATGACCTTTTAACTATTACTTTAGAGAGAAGAAAGACATTTGAGTATATATCCTTGCTGACATTAACTGCAAAAATGTGACACTCCAAAAGCCCTTTTAACTTTAATCAGGGACTAAAGCTCAGAGGCACCCAGTATTACTGACATGTCACTGTGGCATATTGTGAAGGGACAAGTTATGTTTTATGACAACAAAGTAAAATGGCTATATAGTACACATTCTGTCTTCTCTATAAACATATGTGGCTTTTATTCATGTCCAAAATATAACCACTTTTCTCTTTCAAAATTCGGTTCTCATTTTTGGTGCACTTGAATGAGATTTTCTACTTCTGTCGGGTAGCCTTAAGGCTACAGTATCTCCAGGCAAGTGAGCAGGGTTGCATTTATCCTATTTCACCCAGGAAAAAATGTGCAAAAGCCAGAAAAAAGAAGTGGTGTGATACAATACAGAAATGAGGGAACTAAATGAGAAGCATGTTTCTTTTCTCCTCTTTCTTTAAAATAGTGAAACATTTAATCTGTTGTTGCAGAAATTGGGCTCCCAGTTGATATAATATGGAAAAGCAGCGCACTGGAACTGTTTTGCATTTGAACTCATTTTTAAATAGTAAAAGTATCATGGTATCTTCTCTTATTCTGCATATGTACATGTTGGAGAGAGTCTTCATATCTTGAAACATTCTTGTATTTATATTTGGAATCTCAATCATTTCCAGGTCTCTGGAAAATATGTTATGTCATGATCTGTAAACAAATTATATGAAACAGGGCTTTCTGTTGTTATCACATCTGGAATTACACAAACAAGTATTCTTCTTAAATCACAGGTTTCAAAGAAACTCTTTTATGGCAAAATCCATATATAATCAGTAAGAATGATCCTACTACTTTCCATCACTTAGAGCTTTTTAATGAAATGGATATGCATTCAGCCTGAACTCCCTTTTTAGTTATGCTATGCAACAACCGATGCGATATCTATTAACAGAAGCACAAGAAGTGAGTTGCAGAGACAGTTTTTTGGTCTCAGGTCCTCAAGTGCTGAGCTCAGCTGCTCACAACCCCTAAGAGTGCCAGAGAAGCACATGAAGCACATGAAGAAGAGAAGAACATTAATAATGGGCAGGTGTGGCATGTTCACAGCAGATGTAGACTGCCTTACACAAGGAAAGGGAAATGCTGAGAAATGCTGAGCACTCAGAAATGTTAGTACGGAGAGCCATGAGGCAACCCACTTTGCCCATGTAGCATGCCAGCGAGAAAGCACAGGGTGTAGAGGTGCAAGGCAGGCAACCAGAGGGCACCTGTAAGCAGAAAAGTTATATAGGGTTTTGGTTTCTATTTTGTTGTAATACAGACAAGAGCAGGACAGAAATGGGTGCCCGTAACTATCTGAACAGATCCTGAGGAAATGCTAATGGCAATTAAAAATAATAGTGAAAACAAAATACTGGAGAAATAAAGCACTCCTGTCTGTGAAAAGGATTTCAGTGGGACTTGCTGACTAGGGAGGACACACACTCCATACAGGGAAACAGGCTATTAAATATCAGTAAAAACAAAAGGTCTTTGTAATATTTTCTATTAAATGCATGCAAGCAAAACCAATACTGGCCTTAAAAGCATTCAACTTGATAAAAATCCTAATGGTGACAGAGCCATGAAAGGATTCTTTGTGTACTTGAATATATTCAGTAAGGATTTCCTGAAATGTTTGAAAGCAAGTCTTCATTCTGCAGCAAATTCAAATTCAGTGTCAGGAGTGCATGTTTTGTGGGGATTAGCAAATCCAGTTAAGCCAGAAACAGCAACATAACTTCATTAGTTAATATATTTGGCTATAATGGAAAAAGTAAAGAAGCCATTTTAATGGTTTATTTGATTAGCTGTGATGCAAACAGGCAGAGAATAAACAAAGCAACCTATAGCCACCTGACAGAGATGAAAACGCATATAGAAACCTACTATATTAAGTGTGTTCATTGTAGTAGACGCTCAGTACAGATACTGGTCTGCAGCTTATTATTTTCACCTCTCCAATTGGACAATAGCTTTTCAAGAGATTATATTATATTCATTGATGATATTAAAAAAAAAAAAGTGTGTTAAATACTAGAAAAGTGGACAGGAGTTGAAATCTTATCAAGGCTGTTCTAGTAACATGAAAAAACAAAAACCTAACTATTCTATTCATAAGATGCTCCTGGCATAACCTGAAACTGATTCAAAGCAATGGCAAGACAGTGTACAAATGATACACTTTGATCGCATTTTAGAAAAGGGAATCACAAATAAACCAAAAAGAAAAAAAAAAGAAAAATTACAGAGTCAGGTGATCTGTTTAGAAGCAAGGCACTTAGGTTGTCAGATTCGTTTGGAATGAATGTGGTGAAAGGAGAAAAGTTATCCATTCCAAAGAAAATGCATCCACAATTCCAAATATGGTTTGGAAAGAACATCTTAATCTGGTAGGATGGGAAAGAAAGGTCTGAATTTAAAGGCACCAAAAGAAGAAACTGGTAATGGCTTCTGCATTTGTGAAGAATACCAGAAACAGACCAGCAAGGAGCCTGTGACAATTGTGACAATGAACGTAGCATCTAGCAAGGCCTTATAGCCAATATAGTGTTATTATGGCTGTGTCAAGAAGACCATAGGAATGCTTATGTTAGATATAAGATTAAACCCCAAGCTATAAACCCCAGAACTTTGGCCCTAGGGCAGACAATCATTTGAAAAGTAATCCAAGACCACGAATCTCTGTATTTCCAAAGATCTACTCCTGCCTCAGCTATTCACAGAATCACAGAATCACAGAATAGTTGAGGTTGGAAGGGACCTCTGGAGATCATCTAGTCCAACCTCCCTGCTCAAGCAGGCTCCTCTAGAGCATATTTCCCAGGACTCCTAGCACCCACTGAAGACACCTTATGAAATTAAAGTCACTTAATTAAGGCCTTTTGTCCTTGTAATTAGAGGAATTGATGTGTTGTTTGCTTCAGTTCTAGGAAGCTACAGGGGAGATTCTATTGCACAAGAATTTCAAATTTTGAGGATGAGACTGAGATTTGGTCTGGCTCTTGTTCTGGCCTAAGCCAAGTGACATTCTTTCACTTCTTTTCATGAGATTTTAACTTCAAAAATTCTAGTTTTGGATTATATACTGCCTATCCCATGAAATAAAAATGCCTGTCATCCTGTCAACATGGCTTCTGGAGAAATGAATGATTACTGAGATCATTTTGTCCTGGTTAGTTCTAGCCGAGCTAGATTTTTGGAGGTTGACATTATGTCTATCTTATATTCTTTGTTCCTGTATTACATGTTCTGAACTGAATAGGTAGATCAGACAATCATTTTGACAGGCAGGCAGGTGGTACCATTACATTGGCAGTAACATATCTATCACAGTTAATGTGCTCTCAGATTAAAAATAACTGCACTTTTCCTAGCTGGCCAAGCTTTATATAGCAGCAGTGCACATCCCATCCATATTTCAAAACAATGTCCTGTCATATGATTACTGTCTTGCTACTGTGGTGGCTTATGGACTAGAATATTGATAGTAACAGTTACATTTGCTGAATTAATTCTGTGTATAATACTGAAACAAAAGGCTGTAATGCACTTCAGAAAGAATCTGAAAGGAAAAGTTAGTCTGGCGCAGGTGCTACATGACTGATTCACTTATCCATCAAGAATAATTTGAGTTCCTGGAGTATCTGAGACATCCATGTGGAGTTGGCTGGTACTACACAGGACCTAGAGGAGGTCCTGGCCTCTTGGATGAGCAGCTGATGGACAGGTGGGATAGATATCCAAGGGCAGCACAAATGACACCAGGCACCCATATGTGGGCAGCTGAACAAGCCAGTGGTCAACACAATCAGTGAGATGTGGCGAGTAATTCATCTCACTGTAGACAAGGCTTTTGGTTAGCTCAATCACTCTCCAGACTGTGTTTTGAGTAGGGCTTGATTCACTTACCTGATCATAGGCATCTAGTATTGCTGGACATATCCTGCGGTATCTGAGATATCTATGTGGGCAGGCAGATAGGACACAGGACCTATGGGAGACCACAGCCTTTCTGGACTGGCCAGCTGGAGCTGGCTGGAGGCCAGCTAAAATACTTTAGGGATCTCACATAGCACTAGACATCTCGCCTGTGGCACTGAGCTAATCTCCTAAATTTCCTCTTACTATAAGGGGAGCTTGAGACACCTTGCTCACCTTGCTACCCTTGGCCACTTACGTACAGCGGTCTATAAAGAGGAGTGGAATACCCTATATATTGACTTTCTCATATACTTAAACACCATCAATGTTTCTCAGTGTGGCACAGGAGAAAAATATCAAACAATGCATTGCAAGAAAGCTATTAAGAACAATTCACGGGTAATATCAGCTCCATTTTGAATTATCTGAGTATTTCCAGTGAAAGCCTGACTTTTGCTCAAAGAATGTTATGAACATTCATATTCAAGCCATTTCTCTTTTGCCTAATACAAGTAGAGTGAATTGAGACTCAGGTATTTAAAAACAACATTTGGTTCTTCCTTTGAACAGATTTTCAAGAAAAAGTCATATAGCACAGGATGGCGATTAATTTTTAAAAAGGTGATATGCTCTTGCTTTTCAACCCTGAATCCAGTGAATTTAGATGTTCTTTCAGATGACTGTGAATCTTCGCAGGGAGCCACACACATGTACCAGAGAGCAGAGTGATCCAAATTAGAGAAAAAATAAGAAAACTTTTGAATTCAAGCTTAATGTAAAACATTTAGTTTAAAAAAATAAAGTAGCTGAATTATCAGTCCTGTTAAGTCATTATTTTATGAATCACCTCAAATAAAAGTTTATTGAGGTTCTAAAACACTTGTTACTATTTATTTATGTCCTTCTCATCTGCGCAAGAACCATAGCTGTGTTTGTTATATAATTTGTTCTTTTTTAAAGCATTTTGATTGTTCCTAGGCTCACCATTTATGAACAGCAGCAAAATTTAGTGAACTGTATGGCTGTAAATTGTGTATTTTGGCCTGCTGCCTCAGTGTGTTGAGCTGAGAACAGAAATTAAAAGTACATTCAGCATCTCATAGAATGATGATCAATACTTCACATGCCTTCACATGCCTGATATTATTTAGTGTACTATGTTAGTAAAATATTTCAGTTCTTACTTACAATGAGTGAAGTTGCTGAAGATTTTTCAGTTGATTCTCACAGAGGTGAGAGACTAGATTGAAAGACAGATTGCTACAAGAAATCAACACTGTTTCTTACTTCAAGAAAAAAAGGCAAGCTAAGTTGTGTTTTTAAAATTCAATGAGGAACTCTCATTTATAACTTTTCAGCTTTTGTAAATACTTCAGGTCTTTAAAAACGTAATGCAGTAATTCTGTAATCAAGTTGCTGGACAGATCCCTTAGAGAAAAACAGAGAACAAGAGCAATCAGTTTCATCAGCAGTGTTCCACTCATGCATTTTAACACACAAACTCGAAGAACTCCAAGACAAATTTTCTCCGTTTTTATGGGCAAGGAGGCATGCTATCTTACTTAACATTTTAACAGCAGAAAAATCATCTTTTATCATTACTTCAGTTCATCCAAAGCTTTCTTGCTCTAATTTTATGCATAAGTCACTTTGAAGTCAGCCACTACAGGCACTGATGTTCAGTGGCCGCTAAACATGGATCTTTTAGCTCTGATTCATCATAACTAATTCAGCTGAGGTATCTAATTTGGGAACCTTGTTGCCCAAGAATTCTCTATAATTTATGAACTTAATCATTGTTGAGAGGTGAGATGAAGCAAGTTCTAATTACATAGATGTGAAGTTTTTGCATTTAATATAGGTAGAATATGAAAAAAACAAACCAAAAAAGCCATCAAAAATCCCTTGGTAAATTCAGCAATGAAGATTGGCATTAGTGAATGACCTGTTCATTTCCTGGGAGTTTTCACCCAGCAAATCCAGTGCCTTTAACAAGGAACATTAGTTATCAGTCTCCTTCAATAGCTTGTAACAGCCTGTTCCAGTCACTCATGTCATTGGAGTTACTGACAGCTCCCCTTCTCCTTTAAGCTTTCTCTTATTTTCTAGGTTTCTATACCTTCTGCAGCCATTTTATGCTTCTGCCTAAACATGTCATGCCAATTAGTGAGGTAACCAAACACCAGATGCTGGGTGACTACTTTATATGCAGATGAAGCTAATGCATACCTGCTTATCCCTGGGGGGGAGGGGGGGGGGAAGTGGCAGTCTCAAACCTTAGAATAGTTTCCTAAGTTCCCCATACAGCTGATGGGAAGAAATTGGTTCACCTCCAAAGCATAGCAGGGTTGCACGGTTGCCCTACGTATCGTTCTGTAGGTTGTACAGAGAACCTAGGTACCCACAGCGAGTGATTCAAAAGAAGTTTAAAACGTAGCATTGGCCCCAAAGGAACTAAATGAAACTGGGCTACTCTAGCTGTGGAAAAATTATATGCCTAGAAGGGAGTGAGCCTGATTCTCACCTGGATGCAGAGAGACCTTCTTTTTCTGCCCATGTGTTTTGGACTGTGTCTATTGTAAAAAACAGGAGGTCTTATAATCAGAACAATAAGGTTCCTACTGTCCTACTACTACCTATAGCTCTCTCTTGCCCGGTGTCTTTCTGGCCTGTGCTTGTGATTCTGCATGGCCTCCTGGCCTCGCTTTAACAGGAAAGGTGAAATACACTCACAAATTATAGATTTGTAGTAGCTCAAAGTCTATAATATAACATAGATTTTGAAAACTCACAGTTCACCCAAATCTTTTAATGAGGAAAAGGTATTTGCAGGCACCAAGTGAATTTGATTTTCATGAAGAAACCTGTAAGGTAAAATATATATTAGAATAAGTATTTAATTATTCACTTTAATATAGACTTAGTAATTTCATGTTTTAGTACAACTACTTAGCTTTTTACTTTTCCTAGATGTATGAGAAGTTACATAGGGCCCTAGTTAATTTTTGCAAGCTGTAACAGGGTCTATTATTGTAGTCAATGTAAAAGAAACCTACGCAGGGCTAGGTAGTTAATTAGAACTATCCTTAACTTTAATTAAAGTAAGCAATAAGTAGTAAGCAACAAGTAAAAGAGTAATACAGAATTTTATTTGATTAAAAGCCCTGGGATGTGCTGTTCAGATAGGAATTTTACATGTTCAAATTTAGATTTCTTGCTCTTGTTCTGCCTGAGTTTCATACAGCCCTACTTTAGGGAATTCTGTTTCCTCATTGATAAAACATCACATGTATAACACCAAGGAACATTTCGTACTTCTTAGTCTACAGAATTTCTTCTTTGTGAACATGATCCTCTTTCAATCTCTATTTATCCTGTCCTGTGTAATTATACAGGGATATAGCTGAATTTTAAAAAGATAGAATGTTATTACCATATACCCATATATTTAATTTTATCAGGAACAAGACTCTCTGCTCAGGTTTCCTGCATGGAGAAAGTACACTCTGAAAGAGGTATAGGTTCAACAAAAAAAAATATCTGCAGGTTGAAATGTAGACACTCTATACTGTTTCTGCTTTGTGTTCAGAACGCAAGTACAAGGACTCAGCGGAGTTTAAAGAGCACCGGGGTGCTCGTGATCTGATCACAAGGCAGAAATAATACAGTATGCCTATTTTGTTTCTTGGAACAAGTGATATCGTGACAATTGCCAAAACGTTCCATACAATAGTTTAATTAATTATAAAGCACACCTTGACAAAAGCACAACTATTTTGATTAGAGTTTATAAATTGAGACATCCTGTGTTGAGCATTGTGAGTTATACATATTCAAAAGGTTTTAGTTGCTTTAATTTTATACTTTTTTTTTTCACTTACAATACAGTGAGCACATCACATTCCAGGTAAATGGTATTAGTTAAGGCGTTAATACAGTTGCCTTCAAAATCCCTAAAAAAAAAAAGAAAAAAAATCAAAGTGGTTTTATTCACGGATTGTATAATAATTTCACAGAAGGGAGTTTAAGCTCTGGGCTCATCTTGTTTTTCTGGAACTTCCTTTATTTATTTCTTCCCAAATTAGCCCCAATTTATTACCTAGATTCTGAACATGAAGGTAAATATCAAACAAAGCAAATTATGCCTTTTACTTCATTGTGATTTTGTTTCTGTTTATGGCCCAACCCACCAACCCATTCCCTCCTCCTGCCTCATTGTCTCCCTATTTCAGCAATAATAGGCCAATACACATGGCATTTCTTAGGTGGAGTCTGCATACTAGAATAAACAGAGAACATTAAGTGGAGATTTTACATTACATTTTTTTTTCTTTTTCTTAGAATGAAGTAATATTTTAATATATGAAAGAATGCTACATTGTTACTACTTTTCACGCATAGACCTTGGGGGAAAGCTATTTCAGGTAGCACATTTTGTCCCTGGTTTTACTCAGTCTACTTGGAGGATGCTCTTAGGATAGAATAGTTTCCCAAGAGCTGGGGTGTGTAGGTTATGACTAATGAAAAGGCAGTTACTGAATTACTTAAGATAAACATATACTTGCAGTAACTGATGTTGTTTTCAATGGAAAACCAAAGTGAAAGACAGAATTTTGCTAAACTCATGAGAATCGTGAGAACAAGAAACAGCTGTAAAGATTTATGTTGGCAGATAACTGATATTTTTCAGATTATCATTTGAAATATGGTGAAATTCAGCTTTCACGGTTATACTTTATTAGATTGTCACACCCTTAAAAGTAGCCTGATCTAACAGAATAAACAAATATGGAAAAGATCTATTTATTTATCAAAGGCAACTTTTGCATAATTTACTTACATCCAGTTAATAAGAGGCATTTGAGTACAGATTTTCTTGGGAAGAGATTCAAGTGAATTGTTTGTCATTGACCTTCATAAAATAAAACATGGTTAATAAACAGACAGTTTATCATACTTTATGACAAAATACGTAAGTATAACAAAGATATGAAAATGTCAGTTTTTGAGAAAAGCAGTCGGGATTAGATTTAGTTACATTACTTTAGAATTTGAGGTAAATCTAGATTTTATAGAAGCTACACAAGAAAAAAGATTTGTTAAGTTGACAGTAACAAATCATAGGACAGGAAATTATCTTTTGATGCTAGCTTATTAATATATTTTATTTTTAAGCAATGACTACACTGAATGACTGAGAAAGATGCTAAATTGACCAACCTGAAAAAAGCTGTCTATTGAATTATTTACATTCTCAGTACTGACACTGTGGGTTTCTGACACACCCTATGGCCTTCCTCAGTCCCCTTCTGGTGGGAACAGGTAACGGTGGAAAGTTTCCCCCGTTTGTTTCAGTGCTGGCTCTGCGGAGTCTCATCTGAAGGCTGCTGGAGCCACCTGTGATGACAGCCACTGCCTACCAACAGCCACTGCCTACCAGAAGCTTGGCTGAGACACCTGACTCATTGGATCATCACACAAAGGTTTTCATCTCTTCTGCCCTGAACCAATGAATTAGTAGTGAAATTTTTGTTTTCCATTAGCAAAACCCAGTCATTTATCTCCCTGGATACTATTAAAAACAACTGTTACATTTTCTAAGAAAATGAGATCATACTTTTCAGGTGCCAGTTTACTTCATGAGGATGGCAGAAAGAGCTTATAGAACTTAACATCTTCTCCTTCCTACATATCATAAGCTTCACCTGATGCTGATTTTTCTGTTACAGTCATCACAGCAATATCTGTGTGGAGAACTGTTTAAGTGCTTAAAAACTACTTCTGTTTTCTAAATGCATAGGATAGGTTTTTCTCCTGATTGTATCCAAGAACTTTCAATTGAGACTGTGAGTTTCTGGTAGGCATTCTGAGAAAAGAGATATGGCTGTGAACAGTTTTACAGATTTGAGGATGTACTTTAATAGAAGCATAGTAAAGATCATCATAGCAGGAAAGATGCAAATCTGAATCTAAATCTGAATTCAGACTGTTTAAGTATGGGGAGCTGACAGGTGCAGTTCCTTCTTGAAGATGTTTGAAAGTTTTAGCAAAAAAAAAAAAAGAACTTAGAGGGAAAAAAAAGAAAAAAAAGAAAGCTACATGGGTATTGAACAATACCAATATGAAAATGTGCAAGAGTAATATTTACAGAAAAGAAACAAATACTTTAGCCCAGTAAATAGCTTCTTTGAAATTTTTACTATTGGGTTATGATCTAGAATTCTGGAAAGAAATAATAATTTATTATATCAACAATCCTTATGAAAAAAAATGAAAAAACACCTCAGGTGAACAAGTCATGAGGAAGCTAAATGACAGCTTCTTCTCTGCAGTTCCAAAGTAGCTAGACCTAGATATTATTTCCAGAAATTAAAAGGTAGTCTCTGTAACAACGATAAGGAGTTGCAAGCTGTGGTAGTCTTTCACAAGCTTTTGTGCAGAGAGCCACTTACAAACATAGATTTACTGCTTTCTTCCTTCCTTTTTAGATCTATAGCATATACATACGTTACCAGTGATGAGGAGTGCTTTTTCAAATGAAGAGAAAACCAGTACTCACAGCCATTTCAATTTGTATAGATCTCTGAATAGCCCAGGTTTCAAACTAGTAATACAATTATGACTGAGACAGATACCTGTTGAAAAGAATATCATACTGAAGCTACAATAATGCTGTCTAAAAGCTGATGGACTAACTTTAATAGGAGGGAGTAGAAAGCTTTCAGACAATTGATGAGAACAACCAGAAAGATAAAGGAACTAGGGCAAGCAATATTTGGTTTTAAAATGCTGAGTGAAAGCATTTTAAGGTTTCTAGCTCATAAAAGGCTGTCTGTTACTGCTAGGGCAATAGCATTTGACTTAATCTTCTTAATATTTTATATTTGGATGATAGTGGGTAAAGCATTATAAAAATGTGCTTTTATGAATAGTTTTGGACTGCACAGGGCTGGATGTTTTTTGCTAGGATTCAATGAATAACCTTTGCCTAGGTCTTACACATATCCTTTTTAAACTAAGACAGACATAATAAAAATGCTTTGTGTTTATATACACTAATCTATCAAAATGCCAATAACTATTTTTTATTCAAAACTTGATAAGGAACCTGAAAAATTAGCCTAATTTTCAAAGGCGCTGAGCTTGTATCAGCTGTTAGAAGTAGTAGAGGTACCTGAATTTTGAGAAATACTGCCTAATGATAATGTAGAAAAAAAACTGGCCAGTGTGCTTTGTGAACATCAACTACTGAGGCTCTGTCAGGTAAACATACTCAATTAAGTTTATGATGGGTGGATAGTGGTACAAAAAGAAGTTCCATACACCACACCATAGGGTTCCACACCATAGGGTGTGTCTTTGCCCCAAAGTACAAGTAGAGTAGTAGTGGGAGTTAAAATTCAGGAAGTGCTCACTTCTAATATATTTCTCGAGCTACTGGAATACGCTGAATAGTGATTGAATGAGTGTTTGAAGGGATGAAGAGTAGATGTGATTTCCCCTTTTTGTCGAATTATATGAAAAAGCAAAATAGTTCCCACAACTTCTGAAGTTTGCATAGTCCAAAGAATGCTTTCCTTGATATTGTTTGAATGCAATTATGTTGTAGAAATCTGGTACGGATAGGATAAGAAGACCAGGATAATCATGCTTCATTGACTTCTTAGAATTGCAGATGTTTCATAATCCCACATTTATACCCTTCTGCCATTTTAAGCTCACTGCTAAATTAATGCCTGGTGTAACGCCACTGAAGTCAAATTCAATATTTTCCACCAGAACAGAATATTCTCATGACTTCTTTTGAAGCTGTTCTATGTCTGCCTCCAGGGTGGGTCTTTTCCCATTTCTTGATTACAGTTTTGGAACAGAAGATGGTAGGGTATACAAAGAAGATATGAAATAGAAAGCACTGGAGGCTGGGGAGAAAAAACAATACTATTCCAGACCACAGGTATATTATTTTGAATTATGAACAATTGTTAGTCGTCCTTCTTGGCACACTTATATCAACGTAGATTGCACCTGATGATGCATCTCAGCTGCAATTAGTGTCATATATATTTTGATTAAATAAAATTGGTTCTAGCACATTTGGTTTGCCCATTTGGTTCTTGCCCATTCTTCAAATTTTACATTATATCTTGAAGGCTGCTAATCTGTTCTGGATGGAAAGCAGTTTGAGCTGTCATTAGGAACTGTCTAGTAAAAGGTATATAGCATAAAATAAAAATCAAGAGCTAAACTCAGATACTGCATACTTAGGGGATTTGTGGGGATTTATTTTATGCCTAGTATATGAATTCTTACTCTTGGAGCTGTCACTGTTTTCTCATATAGATGACATACCTGCTAGTTTTGTATGCATGCCTTAATACCGTAAGAATCCATCTGAGAAATGCCAGGTACAGAGCACATTGATTTTTTATTAGCAACAGCTGTATTTAAAAAGAGCACAGTTCATTCTGCCTCACAATGTGATATATACAAATGTTTCCCTTCTTTGTAACTTGGTGAAGGGCAGACTGGTTCCTGCAGGAACTAGGAGAAAGCTGTCTTGAAAGCTCTCCAAGTCAAATTTCAATAAAAAGGCCATCTTACTATACAAAGACCATGGAAGACACCACCCAGCTTGAAAGAATGTACCAGTGGTCTATGAGAGGACTGACTACACAGAACTTGCCATGTTTACAGCTTTTTGCATAATTTTGCAATTTGTTTCTGTGGTAGCCTAGCAAAGAAAAAATGAAAGAATCGAAAAGGTTGCATCATTTAACCTTTTAAAGCAGTAAGTTGCAGTTTCACCACAAAATGGCAGTACTACTTATTAGACAAGCTTATTTTCTGCTTACTTATTTTTCTGTTCCAGGGAGAGAGCAGATCTCTGTGTATTGCTTACAAAACTGCCTGCATTCGTGTACATTTGGCTAGATGGAGAGGCCAACATGATCAAAACATCAATTCTGAAAGCAAATGCAGTGCTATATTGTTAAAAAGGTGATTACCGAGGTGATGGTATGTTGATTGTATGCATTCCATATACTCCCGTGTCCATTCAATATTTTAATAAACGGTCAAGATACTCACATTTTCTTCACTTCTGTATACTTGCTGAAAACTTCATGTGGAAGAAAATGGATCTGGTTGTGTTTAAGTGCCACAAAAAAAATTTGTAACAAATATTTGAACTAGGTCTAGGTCTTAATTGGTCAGTGCTGCAACTTTCAAAAAGTAGACCTCAGATCTGGTTGCAACTGACAAAGGGTCAGAGCCTGAAAAGGGCTTTGGGTGCATTATATTGCCTGTGAAGCCTGGGTAACCTCAGCTTCCCCATCATCAGTTCTTGCTCAAATCCTGACCACAGGCTTGAGTGCCCTCCCAGGGTTAGCTGAGAGAAGACAGTCCTCTCTTTGGTCTCTTTGAAAAGTAAATGTACTTGACAGTTGAACAAGCTAGCTGAAGGCCAACAAACTTTAAGTACTACTCTTTTAAATATTCTCTTTACTTCCGTCATCCAGATTTATCTTTGAGAATTTCTCAAACTAACAAGTATTCAGCCTTATGTAAATTTTGACAACTTGTAAAACAGGAGCTGGCAACTTGAAATAGTGAGCTGTCAGTCATCGTTAAGAACCAGTAATCCTGAACTTCCCTTTTCAGTAACTTCAGTAAATTTTGGTCGTTGCCCATTACCCAACTTCTGGCTGCAACCAGTGATCTTTAGTGAGCGGCCTGGGGCTGACAGACGTTAAGCAACAGGAATGACAAACCCAAAGAACAGCATTCAACCAACCTATTTGTAAACACCTACAGTACAAATATCCACATCTAAGCTAATGCCCCAAATTCTCTTTAGAGCACAGAAGTAAACATGTTCTGTGTGCAATTCATATCACCTGTGTTAGGTGACTGATTTACACTATTGACACATATATTTGGTCAAATGAATCCCACCCTGGAGTGAACCTGGTAGCAAAACGCTCACAGCATTCACTACATCCTTAAATCACTTTGTACGCCTACAGTGGGTTGGCTTATTCTGCAATCTCTGTTTGAAAACAGAGGGTCCATATTTAGTAGTATAGAAGTATGCAAAGCATGTTTCGTCATCTCTTTGTTTCTAAAGCAGCTTTATGTCTGAGAGCAGAGGGAGCTCTTCTTATGGGAGGGTTACGTGACTTGAAACAAGTGGAACAGACTTTAAATTAACAGCAGCACATTCTAGTTCTGTTTCCATGCAGCTGCAACCTTCTGGGTATTGGTGGAGACCTAGGAAATGGAATGAAAGATTTCTTGACTCTATGTCATACATATCGGTGGCCAAGCACTTCTGATCAGATGGAGGGTCACTTTGAGATCTTTTCACAGAAAGGGATTGGACATCTAGATGCAAATTCCCACCCAGAATTACCTTAGTAAAGCTCAGTTATCAGGAAGGCTATAAACACTGAAGCTGCACATCCTGGGACTGCAGTGCTTTACACATAGTGAAAGCAAAGATAAGTCACACATAAAATAAATTTGAAATCCTGCTCTTCATAAGTAGGGACCATCAAGATAGGGGTAAGCAAGTGAAAAACAATATGTGCTCAAAGTACATATATATATGTGTATGTGTGTGTATGTTTGTGTGTGGGTATGTATACATACCCATACGAATATGAACATCTCAGAACAGTTTCCACTGGAGAATGCAGATTTCTTAAAGTCACAACACTTCACAGAGAAACTGGATTTTAGTGCAGACCAGAGGGGACACAGTAGCTAAACTTGCCACTTTCTTGCCATGACACTGTCCTTGCTTTTTGGGATTCCATGCAAGGGCATTTTAGATACCCTAACTTGGCAGTCCATCGGGAGAGCTGTCTCAGAGCTGCAATACTTTGACTGAGCTTAGGCTTTTGGGCTGATGACTCTTCATCAGTAGGCAAGAAAACTATTTTAGAAGGAATCAACATAAATCACTTCAAGCTTTTGAAATCTTTTTTAAAAAAGCTGTTTCACAGAGAAGCCTTTCTTTTTTCCATTGTTCCAGAGTGGCATGTTGACTTTCCAACCAACCAACTTTCCAAAGTTTCTAAGAATTTAATTACCATTATCCTGCAATTCGATAAAGCAGCAACCTGCCACTAGCAAGTACATTCCACACTGCATTATTTTGTTCTGCTCGGGTGTGCATATACAGAACTCTGGGAAACTAAAGAGGTTCCCTGAGCTGATCTAAAATTCCAGATATCTCTATAATTATTGCAAATACATACAAATATGTATACATATATGCAGCGAAAAGTCTTAAAAGTTTAAAACAGGTTAAGGATACAAACAGTATCCTTTAGTGCATTTAGGATTAAGTCAGAATGGCAATGAAATTAAAAGACAGCAATTACTTACAGCATTCTTCTGCTAAATCCAGTTAATTAGGCTTTCCATGAACCATATCAAAGATACTTGCCCATCCACTATTATCTCCTGTAAAAAATATTAGCATTTGTCAGCCTTACTTTAAATTGTTTACCAGCTTTTAAATGAAAACCAGAACAAAAGGTGAAAGACGGAGAAGGAGAGGGAGGGAAATCTAAAGCTGAGTTGATGCAAAATATTATTAAAAGATGTGTTTACAAAAATAACTGAATATTAAAACGGAATGATTAATATAGCAGAGAAACTCATACTGCAGTATATGGTACAGCATGGAGAGTTAGAAAGGAATTGCAGTGAAAAGATGAAAAATCTATATGAAAATGGAAATTTATCTAGGACAAGGTTGAAAGACTTAAAGTGACTCAGTGGGAAAACAGAAAGATTGCACCAGACTCAATGAATGAATACACATGGAGACCTCAAAGGCAAGACTTGGTGGTCTTTCATTATTGAAAATAATGAAGACATATCATGACTGAAATAGCTAAATGAACCAGCAATTTTACAAGTTATATGAGATTAGAGAGGAAATCAGTTAAAATTTATCAAGCATAGAAAATTATTCTGAATAGATTGGAAGAAGGTGGGAGTCTCTCTTACATGTGCAGAATATCAGCCTTTGGAGTAATCACTGTTGGTACACCAGGGTGTGGTTTGGAGCTAGTAACAGCATGAGTACACAGGTGAATGGTAAACAGAGAAGGTGCAATGTGGAAAGTCATCAAAACAAATGAACACATCCAAAGTTAGTAGCTGAGAAATGATAATAATGAAGAAGGAAAGAAGCATAGGGAGGTGGTCTGTAATATCTAGAATTCAAAGAAGTGAGAGAACTGTAACTTCGCTAGGAAACAGGTGGAGAGAGGGGACTGAAAGCAGGAGATAACAGTAGAGTTGATGCATTAGCTTCTGATCCAACATGCTGTAGAGTCACAAAAGTCAAATGTAATGCAGGGGGAACCATGCACCAAAACAGGGATCATTTATTAGCCAAAAAAAGGGAGACTGGTCTTATTGCTCTGACTTAACGCTTTGCCCTTTTGAATTGAGGGTGACCACAGAGATCAGTAGGACAGGGGGGAATGAATGATTGTATGATGACCACCAAGTGCATATGTGTGCATGCACATATACTGGCATATCTAAGTCTATAAGAGTCTACCTAAGACTCTTACAACACTTGAAATCATAGTATAATAAAAATTCTTCTTTCACTAGTAGAGAGGCTTATGGAGAGAAGTATCCCTGCTTATCCATGGGAGTCAGTGCACCCACTTTGAAGGTTTCCCCACACAGACAGAGATACAGGTGATTTGCCACTGTGCATCAGCAGAGGCTAATGTGGCCAGGACTCCACAGGAATTTCACCACTGGAGTCCCCCTGCGATATGCCTTTAAACACTCTGTCTGTGTTTTCTTTCCTGGCCAGCATGGTGTAATTCCTTCATTCATTGAAGAAATGAAGATGTAAAGAAATTACATTGAAACCCCAGAATTCTCAGGCTTGTAGATCTTCTGAAGACTATTTGCGATTCAGTGTGTATTAGCTGGAGGAACACATTCCAGAGCGGGATTTTGTTTTTGCATACTTATAGATGTTGCTTTACTTACCACAGTTTTCTTCATCTGCACCATTCCCACAGTCATTTACGCCATTGTAATGAAATGCCTGCGGGAGGCATGTTGTATGATTTCCACATGGAAAACAACCTTTCTGGCAGACGGCACCAACTGAAACGCCTTCCATCAGCCAGGATGCTGAAAAAATATGGGAAGTCATTTTCAGTATATAAGAGCATGTTACGAATTAGAACGGTGTGATAAAACTGCAGTGACTGCAAGCAGTGAAATAATATTTCATTCTCATTTTAAAGTACATTGCATGCCATTTCAATTTTGCCACTTGTTTTATGGCATCCACTAGAAATGGCTTACCACCACTGAAATTTAGAAAAGAGAGCCTAAAGTTTCTATTTGTTTTTCTTCTCTTTTTTCATCATCTAGCTAGCTAGAAAAAATACCATCAGCATACTTTTCTGATTCCTCGATGGTGTAGGCATGAAGTCACAAAACCCTGCTGCATGCATGGCAGCAGCTGGACAGGGTAGTGGTATTTTAATACTCCAAAGCTGGAGTAATGGGACTCTCATGTGAAGAGAATTTCCAGCTGGAGCATTTGGAAAGCCATTTCCCATGCTGAAGGCAGCTGAGCGATGGAGACATATCCACTTAACCATTAGAAAGATACAACTTGTAAAAACATTCATTGCTCCCAGTTACAGTAAAATCTTTGGGCAATTTGCAAGTCAAATCTTGGTATGAATCTGCAAAGTGTGGTCTCAGATTTATGTTTCTTTTTTTTTACAATAATCGAATTAGATTTATAGTCTTGTCAATCACCCATTTAGACAAGATGTTCAAAGCAAGAGAATGGTTTTTATTTCTTGTATTGGCACACATCACAGATGAGCAGAACTGTGCAAAACATTTGCTGGAAATCTGCTATATCATTCCATCACAGTTGTGAAGCATATGCCCATTCTCAGAAGCAGTTTTCTTTTCCACAAAGTCTACAGGAGCTTTTATAACCAAAAAACCAAAACCAAAACCAAAAAAATCCCTAATGAAATAACCTTAAAATTGTGAAAAAGCAAAACAAACAAAACATAGCAAAGCTCTCATACAAAGCATGTTATGCATTTTTATTCATTAGCAGCTTCTTTGAAAAACGAAGTTTAAATTTGATCAAGCAAATATATCTTTGTTGAACTGATGGGTCTATGGACCCACCTTGCCAAGACAGACAGGCTGACTTTAAACAAGACTCCTTTGGGACTACGTACAAGATTAAAGTGAAGCATATAGGATAAAATTACAAGGAGGAGTGACAGAAACAAAGTGAAGTAATCTAATTCCTGTGAGGCCAGTGGACAATTAGGGGCTATATAATATCAGCACATATGGAAAGGGCAGGAGCTTATCTAAAGCAGTAATCTTTAACAAGTGAGTGTGTTTTAGTCTTATCCAGCTAACATTGTCCTAATAATATTACTTTTTGCATGATGCAAAAAATTGAGGTTGGGATACAAGATGACAGGAGATGAAATATATAGTTGGCTTCAAACACAGACTTGAATTTCAATACTAGATTCATTTGGGGGGGAAAAAAAATCTTTTTAAGATACACCTTGTCTTTCAAAGTGAGATACCACTAACATTCTCTTGCTACAACACTTACAGACTGAGGAGAGTTTTAAACTAATTTTTCTGGAAGCTCTTGCTGGAATCCAATATGTGAATAAAAATAGATAGTTTAGACTGGTAAAGCTATAGATCTTTGTATATCAGTGTTTAGACTGCTACAGTTAGATTGTGATAGTCAGCTGTCTTCATCAGATTCCTTAAGGTACTGTCAGTACTTTTCCTTTTTGGACCCATGCTTTCAGGTAGCACATATTGGAGAAAGATTTTTCCTTAGAGTAAAATAGTCTAAATTTCTTTATAAGTTTGTACAACACATCAGCCCTGAGTATATTACAAACAAAAAAAAAAGGTATAGTTGTTGGAAAAGGCTTCATTCTTATTACAAGCTGCATTCTAATCATTATTGTGGTAAAGACAATCATACAAACAAAACTGTTTTGGTTACCGACTGTTTTGGTTATGCTGTGCACATCCCTAAACATTGCACAATGTGAAGAAATCAAACTTTACAAAGCTGTTCATATGAAACTATATATAAAAAGGTATACAAGTGGGTTGAAGCAAAAAAAGAATTGTATTTAAAAGTATATGTAAATAAATATAGTTTAGCAAAAATAATGCATTTCCAGCTAAGCAAGAGATGGGGAAGGTAAACCATTTTGTGATTTGCCGAGATACTGAAATAAATTAATTACATAAAATAGAGAGGAAAACAGAATAAAGCAGCAGCAGCAATTAGTTATGAATGTATCTACCTATGCGCTCCTAGAGAAGGATACCTTACAATTTAGTTCACTGTGACTAGTTCCCAACTGAAATGTATACTAGACACTTCTGCCAAACCAAAGGGCAGTTTAAAGCCAGAGTTTACAGAGATTAGTAATTAAGGGAAGGCTTCATGCTTTGTATTTAAGCCATAAGCTATTCTGATACTGGGAAAAAGAAGGAAAAAGTCTTTCTTTCTGCATTAATTCAGAGATAGAAAAAGCACTGTTATGAAACATTTTTTCGAAGCTCATGTTCAGTGTGGCTTGACAGCCAATTTCAAAAGAACTGAGTGTCTCCATTAATTCTCAAGAACAGTAAAGCTACAACAGAATGAATGTGTGGTAGTGACGCTGAAAATGAGTCCTGAGCCTCTCTTCACTCTCAGCATTTATTTAATTGCCCTTTTAGACAAGATACCAGCCATCACCCAAACAGAAAGGACTTGTTCTTTTAGTTTTGTCTTTGAGTTTCCAAGCTCATTTTAACTCGTCTTAATTTGCTCTTTTATCGAGCATAGTGTAGTTACAGAGTTCTGATAGATGCAGTTGCTCCTGACATACTTTCCGTTAAAGATCACACACAAACAATTGTGTCATCTGTTGGATATCTGCATCCATTCATATCAATGTCTGGAGTAGTATCTGGAGCATTCCTGTTAGAGTCCTGATTTAGTACCCCACAGACAGCACTTTGGCTGATGAATACATATGGATAAAAGTGACAGCTTCTCTTTCAGAGCAATAATACCATAAATGCAATTTTCATTCATCATGTGATAAAATTCAATCTTAAAATTTCTGCCTGTGATGGAGTTTTTCCTACTCTTAACTCTCATCTCAAATTTCTGAGGAGCCAAAATGGACCAAATCATGTTACACACCACTGAGGCTGAGCAAGGTTCAAGCAACATGTGCACAGTTCTCGAACATGTCATTGTTATTCAGTGTGCTTTAATGGAACAAGTCTGTAAATTGAGTGCAAATTTAGTATAAGTGCAAGCAAGGTATGTGGTCTATTTCAGTGGTTGTGGTTTTAAGAAGAGTTTTGTTTAAAGCAGAAAAACTAAAACATTTTCTGCAAATGTCCAAGTTCTGCAAAAGCTCTCCGCTGCAGTATGACAGAGGTTTCAGCACAGGCTAAAATCTGTACGGTGAGCTTTGAGCTGTTGCAACACATGTAATTGAGACACATTTCAGATGTCAAGAGACTCTTTTTTTGATCTCATTGTCACTTCTCCAAGGTCACAGTGAGAGCAGACAGGTCAGTTTGCTTTAGTCAGCTTCAAAATCGTTGAAATATCATGTACTGAATGCTTAGCTATCGTTAAGTTCACATACTGCTTAGGAAGGAATGTGTAAGAAGAGGTAGAGGGGAAAAGAAGGAAAATAATCAAGTGATAAACATGAATTATAAACGCATGGGATTGTTGAAAAAAATTGGAAAATGACAGAAATTCTCACATGTACGAATCCTGTTTTAATGCAGATACACACTAAAATACATAAAAAATGATCTATTTGTGCATAAATATAAGTATTCATGAATATTCTCCCCCCATATCTTTCTTTAGCTAGGAAAAGAATACTTGTTTTTGTATCAAATTTTCATTGGAAAAAACAACTCCATGGATTCAAACAATTAAATCAATCAATTAAAATGATGTCTGATGAACTGCCCAACTTCTTGTGTCAGAATTTTGTAAACTAAAACAATTTGTTTGATTGTCCATGTAATGGCCTGAACAGTAAGCAGGACTAAAACAACAATGCAAATTAGATATTGTCCATTTGTGAATTTTATAAAAACTGCAAAAATTGGCTCTAGTCATCTAATTGCACATTAATATAAAACGTGCTTGCCTTAGGGTTCCTACATTTACTACAGTGTCAGACAGCTCATCTCCAGTGCTCCACTGTAAAACAACATACCTGAACTCTCTTTCTGAAAAGAATTGAGCCTTTACCAGGTTACTCTCTGCCCCTGGAGGAAAGGTGAGTCACACTACAATTTATGCTCAGTGGATCTATGACACTTAAAAGTAGTTCATTGTCACATTTATATTGGCTGGTTCTTTACTACCAGAACTGACAACACCTGCATTGGTACTGATACTGTTAGTTAATCATAATATATTGTATAATTATTAGGGTCCAGACTTTGAATCCCTTCCTGACACTGAGAAGCAGTTACTCACTGAAGAAGTCCTATAGCTGGTGTGAACAGCAGTTCACCAAAGAAAGACTTAATAAACGGTGTTTAAATATCTTATCTTTAAATTTGTCAAGCATAGAATTTCCAGGCAGTGATTAAAAAAAAAAAAAGCCTGAAACCAGTGTTAAAGATACCTATTCTCTCAATTGCAACAGAAGAACATCCTGAGTTTCTTATTAGTTCAGGCTAATAAGACTTGTACAGGTGCTGCCATCTTAGACGCGGTTCTGCGCAACAAAGCCTGACAAAGTTCGGGCTCTGAGCTGAATAGCCCTCTTCCCACTCAGTAGCACCCGAGTTTCGTTTCTCCAGCGTGCCTAGGATGCTGTATAATTACTTTCCACAGGTCCTGGCAGGCTCGAGAGACTTCTGTGAAGCGTCCTTTTGGCTGGAACACTTTTGTGTCACGGTGGAGAACAGCTTTTGGAGCATGAACGATGCAAACCGGAGTTGTTTATCGCCAGCCATTAGAGGGCAGTAAAATACCATTTTTATGTATTATCTAATGGCACTAAATTCTGAGGGCACGTTTGGAAGGTTGACCAGCCATTCAAACATCAACAGCATTTATAATCAAGTGATATTTTCCACTCTTTTAGAGTGAGATCATATATTTGTGCTAGGAATGTTGGACTTCATATCTAGTAAAGCCTAAACAGCCCATATTCGATACCTGATTTTTTCCCCTGAAACATGCAGCAGATGTGGGTCTCCCAGATAGTGTCCTATGACGTTCCTAAAGTTACCATGTTTAACACATAGATTTTTTTGCTACATATAAGAGGAGGCAAGACTGCAAACGTGCAGGAGCTGAGCAGTCATTCCCTTTGCATTTCTGTACCTCCTGGAGCACAGTTGCACAAGGACTTGTCCACACAGGGAAATCACTCTGAGACAGATCTCCTTCCTGCATGACTTTTGCCTGTACCTGTGGTTATTCAAGGTGTTTGAGCTGGGACCTGTTTAGGATGGAGGCTGCAATGTCTGTGAGCACCCAGTCATTTTGGATTCAATACTTCTCTGGTGTAATCTGAACTAGTTTGACTTGGCTAATGTGAATAAAGAGTTTCCTGTTAAATCAAGATAATTTATTGCAAAATTGGTTCAGTCTTTATTATCTATTATTGACTGGGGAGTTTATAAGAAATTTTGAGCTCTCAGTAGCATAGCTGTTTGCTTGTCTGCACTTTTATTTATGGCAAAAGCAATTTGAAAGAATGGTAAGGTGGATTCTTTTCATTTTCTCTAATACAGTAATAAATAAATATATGTTTGATGATTTGTAAATAGGCAAGATAATAGGATGCGTTTTGTAAATAAATAATTTCAAACTATTGTTTCTGCTAATCAAACTTCTGACAATGAAAGAATATATTGATCTGTAATGAAAAGGTATGCTGTTGTATGTTCTTTATTAATCACACTATCTTAAAGCAAATGCTGGAATAATAAAATAAAGTGTATTTGAAAATAAAAACTTTACATGAGTAAATTTTTTTTAGTAATAAAAAACATAGTGATTTAAAAATAGTTCTCATGAAAGAGTAATTAATAAAATTCAATAGTCTCCTCTGTATCCTAGTCCCTTCTAATAGGGTGTCCACAGAACAAATAATGAATTCTCCAGTACTTTTTTATTTCCAATAGGCTAGCAATTTTTAAAATTCTCTTTCCTCTCAGGAATGTATTTACCATTTAAGTTTCTTACTTTGATCACACTATATCCAGACATTTATGCATTATTAGAAAAAATGCTATTTAATTAAATAACTTTTCACAAGCAGAGAAATTACCATTCATGAGCTGATTATAATAAGAACCATTTATTCATTTTTTTTAATGCTTCAGGAATGATTAAGTATGAAAAAACTATTCATTATTAAAAATGAAATTGTGCAGGAACTGAAAAGTTATAATTTTGGAAATTTTGTTTAAATGAAATACTGCTGCTTCTACTGGTATGTTATCATTAAACCAGTGTTTCTATGAAAAAGAACTTTTCACACAGAAACAAATTTTTAGGTAATTATTTCTGATATTCAAAATTCTTTCTGAAATGTATAATTCTAATTTTTAATGTGCTTATAGTGAAAGGATTTCATAGCCAAGTTGTCATAAATTTTGTTGCAGTAGAAGAAATAATGAATTAATATATATGAAAACTCAGTTGCTAAATTAAACTTTTATTTTTTCACCAGATATGTAGAAAATGCATTATGCCAGTAGCATGAAGTTTGCTGTTTACAGTAATGTTTCATTAATTTAAGTATTTTTTCAGAAAGGATTGATTTATCATTTAGTCTTGCATTTGATGAATTTCATTTCACCAAAATTTAGAGTAATCTCGTTGGACAATTCAGTCATTTCATGAAATCAAATTTCTTCATCTTTTAAACATTTTTTTTCTAGACATGTGCTTTACACAATCATGTAAATGAAAATTCCTGATGGATTCCCTGCTGTAAATGAAACTCCCTACTGAGTTCTTACTGTAAATGAAAATTTCTTACTGATCCCAAAAGACTTTTAGACTGACGAAGAATTAAGAAAGAAATGGTCTTACCTTTGATTTCTAACAGAATAACAACATGGAGCAAAAATAGCATTGCAGATAGGCTGAAGTTAAACGGTTTAAGAGAGGAGCAACAGTGTGTTTACAGGCATTGAGTGACGCTTATGCTGTGGACACCTTAGTAGCTGCTCTCCTAAAGAAATCTCCAGCTCAGCTACATATGTCATTGAGCATGCTCACCGCCTGCTGCTCACCAGCTCTGAGGGAAAAGTCTCTTGTCAACCATCAGGTTGTTAGCAATTATTTAAACCATAATAACTGTTTGGCTGTGCTTCTGGATTACTACAGCTTGTTTCTGAGAAAGAGTGTAAGGGATTTTTATTTTACTGGATGCAAGAGTGATTTCTGACAGGGTAATCTGGGGATATAGTAGATGTTTCTTTTCTAATAATTGTAAGTTACCTTTGTAATGGAGATGAAAATCTCTAAACAGCTTGCTGTTATTATTTGGCAACTGGGATTATAAAGCTCTGGGATTAATTTTGATTTTAGCCATATAGTCATCTAAATACCAGCATGCAAATACTTAAACATGTAATTAAACATTGTGTAGAGTTGGTAACCACCGAACCTGGTGGTTACTGATTACACTGGTTACTTAGTTATCTCCAAGAGTGATTTCTGAAATGAGAATTTCTCAAACAAGGATTATTGCCTTTTTACCCTAATTATTATTCTGAAAAGTTTACTTTTTTTCTGCCCCATGTTGTGCTATGTGCCCCTCACCTACGCAAATTTTTTTTCCCAAAAGAGGCTACTACAGAGATCTAGAAGATCATTTCCTACATCACTATCTGCTTTTAAAATTAAATAAAATTAAATAGGCCGGACACATTGCTATAGCATTAATATGTCATTTGGTATAAGTTTTCAGGGCATTTAATTAACGTGCATGACTAGTGGCTCCATGTTCTTCCATGGTATGTTTTGATTTAAAAGGGGAAAGCAAATGCACAAAGGCCATGATACATTTGCATAAAATCTCACCAGAAATTATTGATAGCTTTTGTCTAGGACACTTGGGAATAAATGAACTAACACCAGGGATGCAAAAATCTGCCGAAATAGGGGCTAGGAAATGAAGTTGTACAAATGGTCCACTGCATAAATTACAAGGCTACCACTCACATCTACGCAAGGCAACCAGCAAGTAAAATAATTAGGGATACTCATACAAGGAAGTACTTAACTTCAGTAATAGTAATATCTGGGACACATTTAGCATCGTAGCTCATGATGCTGGATATTTTACAAAAGTTAGGATCTCTCTACGCTGAATTAAAACAAAAGGTAACTCAATCTAGCATAAGAGAAGGTGCATAAGAAACTGGCTATATTGCTCTAAACTATTCTCTAGTCGAACTGAAAACACGCTCAGGGGCACAACCGAGGAACAGAGCCAGCTTCTGTGCCCCAGCTGCAGGCTTGCATTGGCTTTGGAGTTTTTCCTGTTTGTATTAAGTTGCACCAGCCCAGGAAGACCCTGAGGATGGTTGCCTGCTTGTGCGAAGAGAGCACTGTGATGCACCCACCTCTTGTACTTAATCCACTCGTGGTCTGGGAGTGGCAAGGGAAGTAGAGGAGCAGGTATGTAAAGTCACCTGTGACACATGCCCTCATGTGCAGAGTTCTCCCAGCAGGAGCTGAAGGGAGAATTTATCCAGATCAATGCCTTTCTGTTGCACCAATGGTAAAAGAATATGCCCCTTTCTGTCTGAATATGCCATCCATCCTTCTGTTCCTAGTAACTCACAGGCCTACTGATCCAACGTGCATCTGCTGCTTTCTTCTTCCATAAGGTGAGTAGACCTGATGAGGACTGAACAGAAGTGCATTTAGTTTTAAGTTCTCTCTAACGTGCATCATATGATAACTATGAAGGTTATAGTACAACCCACTTAAAAAACAGGTGTAGATGCAGATATAAATGGGAAGAGCAAAGCGGAAAGGAGGGACTTTACAGTGGGCTGTTGCCTCATCGGAAATCGCAACATACTGCAACATAGAATGGGAGGTGAATGAAGGTGGGAGTGGTACATGGCGCACACATGTTTTTCTTCCTGCTGTATAGTGCTGCAGATTTGCTGCAATTTCTGAGACAGCAGAAGCAAATATGTACATTTGCCAATATTGCATTGGCAGATGTGTGAAGCAAAAGTTGGTGGAAAGGCATAAAGGCTCCTGGCTAGCACAGTAAATTCACATGCAGGTCTTAGCACTATTTGGCTCTTTTTCTGTTTCCTACATGCTGTCTCCCCCTGGCACCTGAAGAATTCCTAGGCTAAGAGGGGTGATGGGCAATACTTAGATTCAGCACATGGAAAAGGCACGTGTAGTGGATAATAGTAGCCACGCAGACCTATCTGGGGATCCCATGAAAAAAAGTGAAATAACACTGGTAAATCTCCTTGTTGGTTCTTGCCATCCCATTCCTAGTGTATACCCAGCGAATTGCCTGTTCAGAGGACTGAGAGTAATCAGCTACAAGGCGCTAGCTACAAAGGAAAAAAGCCATGCTGCTTCTCACTTTCTTTTGGGACTCTGTTACAGATCGCAAACAGAAATGTAGGCCTTCAGGCATGTGTCATTCACAACAGTAACAGTGATAACACCATGTCAATGGTACAGGTGACACTGATGAAATCCCTAGGAATCTTTTATACCTCTGCTTACCTATCATCACACCAGTGATGAAAAGAGAAAACATCTATTATGAAAGGTCATGTCTGATTTTGCTGTCCTGACATAGAACGCTGCCTTAGAGCTCAGTATAGAAGAACCTGACTATACTTGGCTTGAGCTCGTGTACTTACTGAGTTGCATTTTTGAGCAGCAGTACAGTATTATCCAGATGATACATGCAATCTAAATGCTGGTCTCTCTGCAAAGATGAAATAAGCAGTCTGTGCATGGAGGACTTCCGCAGAGGCCTCAGCCCTTTTAGGTGCTTTTTTGGTTGCCTAGATTCTCATAACTACCAACACTTCTCAATTCTCTGTAATCTCCATTTTCTCCTTTCAAAGTTCCTGAGATGTGAGGCAGGACAGGCAGAGAGTAAGGGAAAAATGGCTATTGAGGACTGAACAGACATTCCCCTTTGATTCTGTCAGCTGGTGTTCAGACACGGGTGTGAAATCGCCACATAAGACTGCCCAGAAACATGGGGCATGGCTTTTGAGCCAGCAGTTCTTAAACTACATTCTGGGTATGAAGGAAAGGTGTGGGCTGAAGTCATAAAAG